AAGGATGGCAACCAGATTATGCATGCTAGCAAGGGCTTGTAGCAGAGAAAGAGAAATAATTTTTTGTTTAGAAATATGGTTTCGACACTAAAAATAGAACTGATATAAAAGTTGTGTCTACATGCAGACATTATCAATTGGTAGTCTTAAAAATCTACATATAAAGTAAAAATAAATTATATATAAATATATATAAAGTGTATTCAACATGTACAGTTTAAGGCAAAATGGGGACTAGTAGTTGAATTTGTCCCACAATGATAGGATTATAACAATGATTTTCATTTAAACCCACAAAGTTTCGCTTTCCAAAAAAGTATTCTTATCCAAAATGGACTGCAAATTCGACCGCACCTAAGTCTTATAAACACACTTAAAGCGGGACTCGAACCGCGAAGATGTCTCGTCGAAGCTGCAATCCATCCTGGATGAGAATAACTTATGTGAAATCAAGGTTATGTGAAGCTTAATGAAAAATGTGGGAAAAAATCAACTATCAATCTCCGTTTGATCTTAAAAAAAATTGCGTAAATACAATTCATTGATAAATTATCTATTAGTAGCCTCAAAGGGCATAATTATAAACGTAAATAAATAATAAATTCGATTCTATGCTTCGCTGGCGATTCATTAATACAATTATAATGTCGGAAAGGTTTGGCGGTGCAGTATTGTAGCAAACATGTCAAGAATATATCCTGTACAATCCCTATTCGAGTCCAACTGGTAGTGTTGATGTGGTCAGTTTAGGTGAGGTTTAAACGGAAGTCTCCTCCTGCTTGGATGATAATACCTTTATGGAAATATTTTTTTATGAAATTCAATGGAAACGCTATTGTGGAAAAAATGAAACTGCCATTCCTTTATGGCTTTGAGTGAAATAGGCCAAATAAATCTGACATACATGAGAAATAGGACTTTGAGTAAAAGGTACATTTTGATCGAGTGAAAATAATCAAATTTTTGTCGACATTTGGGAGATTCGGATGGTAAAAAGACATGCTTCTCTTAAAGTCGAATATAAACATGTCAGAAGTGGTGAGAATATGAAGTATAAAGATTTGATAACACAAACTTTTGTAGAAGGTTGACTTAACTTGTCTCTTGGACGAGTCGTAATAACTAGCATCGCAGATACTTGTAACTAGGCCGACCTGAAAATATGATCAATTTTTTA